CAAAATGAACATTTAGTACATAAAAAATAAACATATTTTAACGATTTATTTTATCTTTATTTTTCGTGAATAATAATATATATACAATGAATTTGAACCTATATGAATATATGAAAATTATGTTCAAGTTTAATATACTAGATGTACATAATTTTTTTGACTTGTTCATTTTTCTATGTGTTCATTTTTTTTTCAATGTATTCATATATTTTCATGAAATGTTCGTTTTATTAGGTATGGTCCAGCTATTCTATGATTGTATGATAATGTTCATTTTATTTTGGTGTGTTCAATTATTATTACTAAGGTTCATTTTATTTTATGTGTTAATAAATTTTTATTTTTACTAAATGTTCATTTTTAAGGTCGTGGCCCAACAATTCTATGATTATATGATAATCATTTTCATTTTAAAAATACTAAATGATCAGTTTTTTTTTAACGTATTCACTTTTTAGTACTAAATGTTCATTTTTTTTATTACGAATTGTTCCTATATTTTTTACGTGTTCATTTTTTTTTCCTTACTAATGTTGATTTCATAGACATGCTGTAAAGACTTATTGAGTGAAAGTTGTGGGTCATATGATTGTTGATGAATTATAGAGTTATCCAAGGGGACTTTTAAGCCCAATTGAAAAGGTAGTAAGCATTGCTTCTTTATCCCTATAGTATATGTTGTACTCTTGAATTAGGTTGAATCTTTGAACACTCTATAACAGTGTTGGGGCTACGATGAAGTAATGTTCATGGGGTCTTGTGCAACTTCTATACTAATATAGTTTCCTAAGAACGTTTATGTGTCACGCCATGTCACTCACTCAATTCAACTTCTCATTACTCCACGTGACTCTCCCTTAGCTTTCATTTATTTTCATTGCATGTCATACACTTGTAATTAAAAAAAGTTCTCTGCAAAAAATATGCAACCTCTAATTGACTTACCGCCAAGTTACGTGATATTTTATGTTATCTTTTAAATACAAAAGATTAATATGTAGCGAATGACAATATGAATAACAAATTTAATTACAAGAAAAAGTTGAGTCATAAATTAAAACGTATGTTAATTATCAACCTAATGTAATGACCTGGGAAATTGCTCAGCCCCAAATACTAGTTTAACCACTAACAGGGTAAAATTAATATTGGGAGATGAAGAATTTTGAAGATTAATTTATACTAATAGAAATTTTAAATATATAAAACGTTTAAAATAAGGATTTCTTTTTTTGTTTTTATCTTTTACTTTTGAGATTGTAATTAATTTTGGAAGATAGAAAGGTTTTAAGGATTAGAATGAAACAAATGAAATTGTGGGAGGAAAAAAGCATTAGAAAATAATAAACAAACTAGAAAATTTCAACCTCGAAAATAACACAAAAACAAAAACAAAAAAAAAATAAAAAATAAAAAATTCAAAAAATAGAAATAGATTGGGAAATACCTTATCTTAAACCATTCAAAAGTGGAAACCTTCAAAATTGGTCAACATCCTTTAGGAATAGTGATATGAGTCTTAAGTCCATAAATTTCACTATACATTTCAGCAAAATTTTGGCAATTGCCTTGCTTGAAATTCATTTCATGCATTTGGTTTTCATTTATTGAGTCAGCAAACACTTTTCCCATTTTCCCTCACTTTCACTCAATTCTGGTTTTAGTACTCCATATTTCATGATTTTCATCTTCCTTTTCCTCTCTCGTCTTTCTTTTTCCTTCATTGAAGCACCGATTTCCATTGAAGCAGAGTTTTTTCTCCTCCAATAGAGCTGAGATAAGAACTTCTCATGTTTTTTGTCAACGATGAACTATGAGTAACGGTTTGGGTTATTGAATTTGGTTTTTTTGAATTTTTATAGATTATAATTATGGAACTTAAGTTTGGGTTTTTGAATAAAAGATTATTTTTGGGCTGAAATGGTTGCTTCAATTTTAGATTAATGGAGAATGAAAAAAATGCCAAATTTGGTTTCCTCCATTATTGAAGCGACTTTGAGGTAAATCGTCAATTATCAATTTCATTATATAGGGTTTATCTTTAATTTATTTGTTAGTTTAGTCAACTTAACGCACTCGAATCATTAATCCAAATGCTGCAACTTTGAGAAATCAATGGAGGTTTGCTATAAGGTATACAACATATGGTATTCTCATGCTTGGGGTATTGATATTCTTGTAGGCAGGGCCTTCTTTGCTCTGGGTTGGATCATCAAAGGTGGTAACCTTCTTCCTTCTAATGATGTTGATATTCATAAAAAAAAAATTGAGGTTTCTTCAACTGCTGCTTGAAATCAAGGAGAAAAATGATTTTCTGGGGTTAGTACTTGATCTTTGTCCAATTTTGTTTATGATTTTTGGTTTTTTTTTTCTTAATTTTTCAATTGCGTTTTGTTTTCCAGAGTATTTTATAGGGTAAATGTTATTTGGGGCATTTTAAATTAGAAGCATCTTGATTTATTGTGATTAGAGTAAGGTTGTGTGATGTTTAAAATATTAATATAACGGGATTGTTGTGTTGTTTGCTTGTGAGATTCGTGAGTTAGTGTGAGATTTAGTTATGGTATTTAATTTAGTTGTATTTAGTTCTAATCCTATTCACAACTAAAAAATCCATGCTATTTCGTATAAAATTTTAAATTGACTGCTATATCGACTATATACTTGTATTTCTTACAAGCTTCTGCCCACTAATTAAAAATATATATATATATATATATATATATGAGAAAGAATGAGTAGAAATGTGTAGTAATCTGTTTTGCAAAGTTCATATATGTTCCATACTTTTTTGGGTTCATATATAAATCTTCCTCTGCTATGCCCTGGACCAACAAATTGGTAGGCTTTGTGTGTGCGTGGGGTTGACTATTGTTTAAAGATTTTATTCATAGATAACAAAGAGATGAGAGAAATAGTGACTGGGTGAGACAATAGTGAGTGCACGCAGTGTGTACATGTCTTGTAATTGTAATATGAAAGTTATTGGTTAGAGTCTTGTGAATGGCTCAGAGAGTTTTAAGCATCTTTTTATGCTTTAAAGGAGTTGATTCAGTTTCATCTATAATGCTTGGTTTATTGTAATACCTTTGCGGACATTATCATACCTTATTCTCATGCAAGACCCATTGACGTTACCTTTCCCTCAAAGATGACAAGGAAGCTACACACAAGGCCATGCTACCATCTATCTGAATTTGCTTAAGATGTTGAAATTTTCCCCCTAAACACAATAATATGTTAAAAAGATCAAAATCTGCAAATGAGCAACTAAACATAAATCTAATTAATAAAAAACAAATTTGCTAAAGACACACAGAATTCAAAGTATGGGCTGGCAATGGATCCAAAAAATTATAAGCACCAAGACAACAATACTTATCAACAATATGCAGTCATCTACGTGAGGAAAAATAGTAATTTTGCAATTTCCTCCATTGATAGGTACAACAAGTGTTACCATACTCAACTACATCACATGTATTTACAGAAAGTTTCACATCTATATACCACCCTGTCAAGGTTTATAAGCACTAACCTTGCAAGCCTTAGTTTGTTGGCCAAGGCTATCAAGAAAAGAAAATATCTTTTAATTTATTCTGATGGTAGCAGACTAGAAGTAAAAAACTCCAGTATTCTCTAGCTTAATTTTTGCACTTTCATTAGTGGAATAAGTACAAGCTGCACCCACTTTATATTATATTCTCTAATTATAGCTCTTTGATTTATATAATTAGTGTGAAGGCAAGCCAAATCCAAGCCTTTGTGTAAGTTCCTCTCTTTTTCTGGCACAAGAGAATTTTTTACCCCACAGAAGACATGGATATGTGAACGAAATAGATAGCATAAATTTTTTAGTTGGGTGACTTGTGAATTCTAACCCTATTCTAATTTAAAGTTTGTTTTTAACATCCATGTCTTCTGTCGTTAGGCGACTTGTGAAAGTTCAGGGTATCCAAATACCTAATGCATATGTGTAAACTAAGTTACTCGGATACAACCTGAAGTTTCTAATATAACGATCTTTATGCAGGTGAAAAGGGAAGTTGTCGGCATTGTTCCTAGCTTAACTAGGTCTGAAGATGGAATGCAGTCCCTTGCCCAATATTCCAAAGTGGTTTTGCAAAAACAATCTGACCTTTTGCAGGATCCCGGGTTGAGGTTGCTTTCTCCCTTGACTCTTAAGTCTTTAACCTTTTTCTTTAATCCTCTTTAGAACTAAAGCTTGCTTGGTGTATTGTGAAAGCTAAATTATGGAACAATGGAAGATACCTCTCCAGTAGTTTAGGAGATTACATTGAAGAATAAACCAAATTATATAATCTAGAGCATGAGTCCACTTCTAAAATACTAATATGCTCATGTTATCCTCTATAAGGGTATACATGGTCATTTTTACTGATGAATGTTGAGCTATGTATGGAGGATTATGAAAATGCATAATCATAGTGTTATAAATTATATAAAGAAAAAAAGCATAAAAATAGTTGGGAAATATGAATAATCCAGTTGTTAGTTTTTGTAAGCAATGATATCTTATTTGTTGCTCTAGTCATTGCTGTATTTGATTTGATTTCTTGATTCTCCATGTTTTATAAGAAAAGATTTGATTTGAGTTTCTTATGCTTTTGATTTCTTGATTATCCGTGTTAAAGTTTGATCGAGTTTCTCTAATTTTTGGTAAGATCTATAAGCAGAAGAAAACATGTATGATAAAGCCATGTTGTGTTTGGATTGGTCTAGACTTGAAGCCATCAACAACTGATGTTTCCACCATATACGTAACTTTTTGCATCTATGGACTCAGTGGCGGATCCAGGATTTTCAATTCGGGGGGACAAAATGCTTAACTTACAAATAGCTTAACAAAAAATAAAAACAAAAAAAAAAACTCAAACACACAAATTAGTTAATACTTAATATTAAAATTTCAAAATAAAAAACATACTTAGTCATACAATTCAAATGATGAAAAAAATTACATAAACATTACATTAAAATTACACTTTCATCCTTCGAGTCTTCATATTTTGGAAGCGATCAACAATTTTTTCATCGGAAACTCTTAGGAAGACATCCTTCTCAATAAAAGTGATCAAACAATCATTCATAAGTTGATCACCCATGCTATTTCGCAACTTATTTTTGACACATGTCATTGCGGAAAAGACTCTTTCAACACTTGCCGTGGCAACCGGAAGAATCAACATCAACTTGATAAGCAAATGAATAAGAGGAAAAGTCTTATGCTTATTAGTTTTAACAAGCATCATAGAAAGAGAGTTAAGGTCATTTAAACCTTGAAATCTATCATCATTTAGCATATTCTCCATGAATATATCAAGTTGACATTCAAGAGCCATCAAATCAAAGCTTAAAAATTCTTCGGGATAAAAAGAGGAAAGTTTAAGTACCTTATCTTTATCAAAGGATGAGAAGTTATCTTTAGGACTTAAACAAGCCATACATATTAGTATCTCCATATTCCTCTCATTAAATCGATCATCAAGTTCTTGAAGATGCAAATCAATCACTCTTACAAAAATTCCAACCCGAAAATGATGTTCATTTGTTGCTTCTTCAACAAAACGTCTTGATCTTCCTTGAGGAACATAAGGAGAATCCATAGTGGGAACAACAATACCATGTTTAGCACAAAATGAAGTTACCTTGTTTAAGAGAGTATCCCATCCTTGCTCCCTCATTTTTTGCAACACCAATTTTGTGTAAGTGACAAGTTCCATGGCATTTACAATATCTTGCTCCTTTCTTTGCAAAGCAACACACAAATCATTAGTGTAACCAAAAATAGTCAACATCAAGTGAGCAATAAAAACAAAGTCAAATTACTCTAACTGTCCTAAAACAATTTGAGCTTTGAACTTATCTTCCGATACACCATGCTTCCCAATGTGTACAAGTACCTTAACAATTGTAGGAAATAAGAGGATGATGTTTGAAATAGACTTGTAATAAGAACTCCAACGAGTATCCCCGGGCCTTTTCAAACCAAGTTCTTGATTTAAACCCGATCCACTCACAATATCCCCTACATCCAATGCTCGAGCAACTTCTTCAGCTTGATCTTGTCGAATCATTTCTCTTCTCTTGCAAGAAACTCCAACCACATTCAATAAATTTGCAAGTATCTCAAAAAGCCAACCACAACTATCATTCTTTTTAGCAATGGCAACTAGTGTTAGTTGAAGTTGATGAGCAAAACAATGTACGTAGTAGGCACTTGGAGTATCATTCATAATCAAAGTCTTAAGACCATTTATTTCACCTTTCATGTTGCTAGCTCCATCGTACCCTTGCCCCCTTATCATAGATGGACTCAATGAATGTTCAACAAGTAAAGACATGATTGCATCTTTAAGAGTTAAAGCGGTAGTATTACTAACATGAACAATGCCTAAAAATCGCTCCATTTACCTTTCCACTATCTCTATTAACAAAGCGCAAAACAAGAGCTAGTTGTTCTTTTTGGGACACATCACTTGACTCATCGGCTAATATGGCAAAGTAATCATCACCAACTTCTTCTATTATGCACCTAGTTGTTTCTTTGGCACAACAATTAATAATGTCCTTTTGAATAGAAGGGGAAATCATTTGACAATTTTTAGGTGCTTTTTCAAGAGTATGTTGTCTTACTTCCTCAACCTTTTCTCCTAACCATTTCAAAAGCTCAAGGAAATTACCCCTATTATATGACTCCCCGCTTTCATCATGTCCACGAAATGCCAAACCTTGCCCCAAAAGAAACCTTAAACAAGTTAAAGATGCATTCAAGCGGATAAAATATTCACTTTTAATCACCTCACTTGCATTGTCAAACACATTCAAGATTGATTTTTTTTTCCATCTCTTAAATTCACATATTTCTCATAAGCAAGATTATGAGCACTGTTAATTCCACCAACATGCTTCTCAAATCTTTCCGATTTATTCCATGCCCTAAACCCTCCATCAACAAATGCATCACCCCCCGAATAACTATCAACTTCATTCTTGAACAAGTAACATACAAAACAAAATGCAGCATCTTTTTCAATACTATACTCAAGCCAATCCCATTTCTTGAACCAATGAACACTAAAGCGACGTAAACCAGACACTTGTCTTTGAGGAAAGTCATGAGTTTTTGGTTGGCAAGGTTTTTTAAGAATATAACCCCTCCTAACTGCATTTCGTTCATTTGCGGGGTAATCCATTATGTTTATTCTTTTTCCCGGATCATGAGGAAGAAGTTCAACATCGTATACCAAATTTTCCTCCAATGGTACATTACAAGTACTTGAACCACCCATTTCCATATCATCTTCTTGACTTTGAGGGGGGCTTAATGAAGGGGAGTTATTTGACTCATTTTCATGGAGTTTCTTTCTTTTAGACAAGAATTGTCGAAGATCGGGTTGTTTTCTAGTAGCCTTGGATTTGTTTGAATTAGGTGAATCATTTGACATTTCTTAATTACATTAAAAAATATATATCAATTATTCAATTTCGGAATTTCCACAATTCACATCATTGCTGCATACTATAAAACCTAACATTAAAATTGCAATTAAAATTAAAATTCAACAAATATTGCAATTAAAATTAAAATAATTCAACAAAAATCTGGAAATTAGGGTTAACAATTGGTGAATTGGGGATTTCAAATTAACAAATTGGGAATTTCGAAATTCGAATTAGGGTTAGCAACTTAGCAAGACATACCATAAGTTTAGCAGCGACTCAGCGAGTGGTGAGGAACCCAGGGGCCAAGGCGGACAGCCGGACATGCGGTGGTCGGTGGAGCAGCGAGCCAGTGACGCCTGACGCACTCACGCACGCACCTGCAGCGAAGACTGAAGATGGAGCACAGCCGCACAGGAGCAGCGACGCACCACGCACGCACGAAGCCTCGACGGTCGCCGGTTGGTGGAATGGTGGAGCAGCGACGCAGTGGACTAGTGGTAATGGCGAATTGGAGTGAAGATTGAAATGGAGCAGCTGTGCGATTTGTTTTGCTTTTTTTTTTTTTTTCTTAATTTTTTTTTTAAATTGGGGGGACAGCTGTCCCCCCATGTCACTTAATTGGGTCCGCCCCTGTATGGACTTTGTTATGGATATGCTAATTTCACTGTTTGATGTCCATTGGAATCCTTATATATATATAATTGTTTTGGTACATAAAATGTCTTAATTATATTTTTATATACTATCATGCTTTAATACTGCATATGAGCATATGAAATGATGAATCGTTCAAAAGAAAAGGTAAAAAAAAATACGATGATGATCAAAAAAGGCAATTGTGAGAATTAGAATGATGATGCTGCCTATATAAAACTCCTTTTTAATTATGCTATACTATACTAAGTAATTCTCGTAGCCCACATTTTAAAATTTGACTCTTCCACAAATATGTTACTTTTCTATTACCAAAGATAAAAAGGGAAAGAAAGAAAGAGTTGCTTTTCGTGCTATTTCCAATAAAGGGCTGAGTATGACAGAGGAGTCAACACTTTTTCTCTAGATGGTATGGAAGTTATAGCTGCATATATATTAATGTGACTTTCTGGCATGTTGGGAGCTTGCTCATATATGATTACGTGATAAGTGCATAATATACCATATTTTGCGCCCCTAATATTAGTCCTACAATAGTTTTTAATTAGTTATTTTATGAAATTATCCTCTTTAATAATTTTAGTTCTTAGTTTATGTTAGCATTTTATTTTATAGCTATTTTTATAATAATTGGTACTTAATATCAAGTTGTGTATTTTTAATAGGAAAGCAAGAAGAAAAAGGAGTGGGATTGGCAAATACTAATAACTAAAAGAAGCCCATTTGTTTTACTACTCCAAGGCACCAAGTACCACCATTACCACTGCACGTGCCATCATCTAAAAGAAAAGAAAAAAAAAATAAGAAAAGGGGGAAAGAGGAGCGTGAAGACCAGGGAACAAACCCACCCTTGTCGAATTTCATCCCCAACAAGAATTGCAATTATCCTCCGAAATTCAAGGACAAGATATAGAGAAGATGAATTTCTATCTTATTTCACAAATTTATCTCTTTAATCCTGGGAAACCTAGGTTGCTTTTTGGGTATAAATACCCCTAATTATCTCATACGGAACACGCACAACTACAACAAAAAATCGGAGCAATTGAGAGTAAAGGTTTTGATCGGGTTCCTGATTTCGGACAATTGAAAGAGAAGACAGCCATTGAAGGAAGCTTAGTCTCGAATTCAAGGTCGAACAAGAACGACGGTGAATCGCGGGGTAGAAGCGAAGTATCATACGAGTGTTCTTGAGTACAACTTTATAAGTTCTTCTTACTCAATTGTTTTAATTACATACCTTGTTCATTCCTTTACTACTTTTATTAACTTATTTTGATTGATTATTAGTATAATATTTTGGTTCGTATTGTTACAATCGACTTAAGTGTTTTTCTGATTTAGTTAGTTATTGAAAATGCTTGTTATTAGTGATAAATTTTTCAATTACACGCCTGATTGTTATCTTTCATTGTGAGTGATTGTGAATGTTTGCTAATTATACGGTTTAACTTAGTTTACATCGTATAATGAAGTAGCCCCTTCTTATGCTAAATCTGCGATTATGGTTATAATATGAGTAGAAGTATTTTCAATTTAATTATTCAAAACATTTATGTGATTAGATTAATTAGGACTAATGATGTCTCCTAGTTTATAATGCTTTTATTTCTAAATTATATGAGTTGCAATCATATTTGTATAAGTTAGAATGGTTTAGAGTCAATTTGGCTTAGTTCGTAATTGACTTAAATTAAGGGATGATAGAGAGTCTTTGTTATCTTAGGCTCTACATTTAGTCAAATAATTATAATCGTGGTAATCAAGGTCAATTGTATGTCGTTGCTAATAAACTAAATCAAGTAAGAGTTATTGAATGGAATGGTTAGTTGTGTCGTCAATAGTAGTTCAGCTTATTTTATATTAGTTTTAGCTATTTAGTACTATCTTTAAACAAACCCCCCCCCCCCCCCCTTTTATGTAAATATGTAAATAAATGTATTGAATGTAGAATTGCCGTAGTATAATGTAATTTAGTTAAACTTTGGATTTTGGAATTAATGAGTCTCCTCGCGGGATCGACCCTTGCTTACACTTTTACTAGTTGTTAATATTTTTGAAGGTTAAGTTAGGTAAATAAATTAGGTAAATAAATATTTAATTTTATACGGTAAACGACACGTGTCATTACGCTATTGAAGTGACACTGTCTACTATAATTTGCTTGTAATTGTGTTGATTTCTAGTTTCCATATGTTCAGGAAGCCAAGGCAAGAGCTGGGTTTACAGGACAAATTGAGAAGAGGTAGTAAGTGAGAGATGAATTCCAGAAAATGGCTATCGACAACCAGGTTAGAAGCCTGGAAGGCGGACACCCTCCCCTCTTATATTAAAGCCTTTTTCCGACACTGATTTAGGGATAAGATTTGAGTTTCTCTATTTTGATGTGAGTATTAGTGAGAAATTGGGGAAACGATTACTCATACTTTATCGATCGGTAATTGAAATTAGCTTTACCTTAAGACTTTATGTATATGGTGACAAAATGGCTTATAATAGTCAAATATGAGCTATAATAAATAGATTTTTAGTGTTGTAAATTTATTAAATCTATTAGGGTACCTCAAAAGACATTATAATCCCACATGATGACATGAATGGACTCTTTATTGTCCATATAGGTTACATATTCTCATCTTGTATATATATGGGATGGTCTAATGAAATGAGATATCAACTATCATCTACATCTCTCTCTAATATTCTCCTTTTCCCTTATATTTATAACAAGGTGATATATTTTACTTCATACTTTTAGACAATAATATATAGTTATACTCCGTATTTTTTATGTAACTCAATATTTATGAACCTCGAATGTGGCTTGATATTACAATTACATCATTTTATTAATAATTGTACTTAGATTACAATAAACGAGAATATGTGATCATGTAGTAAATTTTGTTTTGGCTGGTGGCATATCAACACCACTTTATGTGTATGAAGCTTACCTACTCTTATGGTTTTTAAAACATTGGTGCTTTTTGTCGGGTACATGGCCAATAAGCATTCATTTCCATCTCTAGCTAACATCCTCTTCAGAAGTGGCAAAGCAAGGGAAAAATGTAAAATTCTTATAATAAAGGCAAAAGAGGAATGAATTGTTCATAAGGAACAATGCCTTTGTTTAGACTTTTACATAGTTTGTTCACATATTTTCATTAGGTAGTGGATGTGGATAAAAATAAATTAAAAATTACAGTGTTGGTGATCGTTTCTTAGAGGCATTGGTGTTTTAACACCTCTTGTAGTGATGTGGAGAGATAAAATTATAGTGGCCTGGTTAATTTGTTTTTCGGATGAGTAA